GTAAGCTAACTTTGGTAACAGGAATTGGTGAGGGTTACAGGAATTTTATCTTAGCAAAGAGCAAGAAACAGCCACTAGTTACTAAACAACTTAGAACAGTGGTGAGGACACATTTACAACAGAAAGCACAAGATTTACATTTATAATCTAAAACGTGAGTTGATTCATTATAGACAATAATGCACAGACTCAAAAAAAAATAATGCACAGACTCAGATTTGATGATGCTGTGATTCATCTCTGCTTAATAGTGGCAGTTGCTCATTTAGGGTACAAAATGAATCTCATCTTTGCATCATAAATAGGGAAATGTGTCCTCTTGGGTAGATCAACAAATATAAAAAATGTGCAAATAAAACGTGAGGGCCGGCCAGATGGCTCTGTAAGGGTCCCCTGGCCTCGAAAGAAGACCCCAAGAGTCGGTCACTCATGCAAAGAACAAAGGGAATTTTATTAGCTGTGTGCACGCAGGGCGGTCTGACCTCGCAGGAACACAGCTCGCCAAACTGACGGTGGGCCATATTTTTAAGCCCGAAAACAAAGGGAGGAGGGGTTTTGCAAGCGGGGTTACAGAAGCAGATCGCATTGGTTAATTTTAGGGTAACCTTAAAATAATTGGTGGGTTTTAAAATATGTCCTAAAAAAGGAGACTAAGAACGGTCAGTTAAAGGTTAACTATGAGCTGGCTTGGTGGTTTCAGTCTGTTTGGGGAAGGGAGAGTAACTAAACATTGTGACCTTGTTTCACAAGAATGTCATCGAACCCAGGAGGTGATGTTTGCTCAAGCTGGGCCTGTGGTTTTCCGGCTTAACCTAAGGTTTTAGGAATTTGGGTTACTCATCAAACCGGAAGGTGGTCTTTCTTGTTTAACTGAAAATTTTCCATATTATTCGGATCCTACAGCTCATCTTACTAAAGTGCCTCATTTGACAAAGCTCAGGCACCCAGGTTCAACCCTTGGCCAGGCCCCTAATAGTCACAATTTTCCTACTATCTCAATCTGTTCATTTTCAGCCCACACGGGCAGCGGTGAAAAGCCAGACAGAGACTGCTGGCATTCGATCACTGTTCGGCCAAGACAGGCTGACGTTGCAGAAAAGGGCCTCCAAGTTCCCGGGTTCCCAACCACCTTTGGAGCTCCAGGAGCGCACTAGTTTCAGTTTCCTCCTCTCTCTTGGCCCTGAGGAAGAGCCGCGGGGCAGCAGCCAATCAGCGATAAGGAGGCTGCACGGCCTGGCCAATGAGAACGGGCCGAGGTAGGCGGTTTCTTCCGGAGTGGAGGCGCGAGCGTGCCAGCGTGCCAGTCCGGAGCGTCCTGCTGAGTCCCCCACGTTGCTTGATCGCCTGGTGTGACTCTCTGCGGGTTGTGACTCGTACCGCGTGCGCGCTGCAAGGGAAGGACCCCGCGAGACCTGGAAGCCGCGCAATGGTGAGGCCGTGGAGGAAGCCAGGGGTGAACGGAATCGGGAGGAGGGTCCCGCGGCTTCCTGCTTAGCCTCAGACCCTGAGGGTCTGCTGGTCTTTGGGCTTTCGTTCCTTGTCTGTGCTGCTTCAGGGCTACGTGTGTGTTCCTGCGTCCTGTCCCCACCGTGACAGCGGTCCCGCACACTTCTGTCTCGGGTCGCCCGAGGTGCAGCCTTATCTGCACCCTTGTGGGGAGAGTGCACCGAAGAGGGTGTTGGGGAGACCCTGACTGAGATATGGGTTGGAGCGGGTGCAGCTGTGACGTGCTGTGTCCCTGGTCCCCTTCCTTTTAGCAGCCGACTTGGAGAGTCTGATGTTTACAAAGTTTTGCGATGCCAGGTCTAGGACACATAGCACGCCTCTTCAGATCTCCGCCAATAGGTTAAGAATCAAAGTTTCCAGGCACCCTGCCCCAAACACTCTCCCTGTTGGTTTCCCAGGCACGCTGTCCCCAAACTCTCTCCCCCTTTGCCCCACGCGGAGCTAAGCCCTGAATCGCAGAACAAGCCTGCCTGAGTTTGACCTGGGCGCGCAACCGCATAAACTCGCGTTTGTTAACATTGAAAGTGCCCCACAGACCAGGTAGCGCTGCCAAGATGAGCCCTCCTGGGCCGTGCCAGCCCACAAGCACCCCCCAACCCCACCCCCGGCACCCACATACACACAAAACTCCTTTGCTTTATTAAATGCTAGAGTAGGAGGTGAGTCGGAGTGATTCGCATGTACTCACAGCTTCAACTCTGTGCCGCCTTGTGATTTTGAGACTCTGTCGCCAAGCGGGCCCCCACCAGCTAGAATTCCTTGTCCAAAAATGCAGCCTAAGTACATTTCTTTTTTCTTTTTCTCTGATTCTGAAGTGTTTTGTTCAGAAAACGTAGTGGATTTGTAGAAAATAACTGTATTTTTTATCATTGCAAAAGGGGCAGTGACTGTATTATAATGTGAATTTAATATTCTTACGACTGATTTTGTGATTTACCTATATTAAAACCAACTACTGTTACATTTTTCTTGACTATAGAGTTTGTAGTAGCATTTTTTTTGTGTGGTATAGCATATTAGAATATAATGACGAGTGACAAAGAAGCTTCTAAATATGAAAACGACACACTAGAGAATTTATAGCTACATGTATACAACTAAAGATCACATTCTTAAAGGAATAAATCAGACCCACGTGTGTCAACATCATATTGTCTCCCTAAAGTGAGAAGCTGAAAGAATAAATAAGATCCAAAATGTCTCACTGATTTTGTGAAATGGGTGCAAAGAGTTCAAAAGAAAAGAGAAACTGGTGTGTGAGGACGGAAAAACAAACAAGTGAACAAATATATGCGTACAAGCACAACACAGGTAACATACTACTTATTTCTCTTAATTGAGAAGAAAGGATTTCTTTTTTTTTTTATTTGTATCTTTCTAGGGAATGGTCTACAGGGTGTTCAGGGTCTTACTACTAGATCGGACTCATAGTGATTCTCCTATTTTCAGCCTCCGAAGTGCTGGGAGTACAGGTGCACACTACCACGCTCAGTCTCAATCTCCATCTCAGCATGCCCCATTTGATATAGTTCAAAAATACCACAATAGACTTAGGGAGATATCTCGACAGACTCATCACCTGCCTCGCAAGCACAAAGACCCAGGTTTCATCCCCGGTACACCAAGCTATGGTGGCCTCACAACACTAGGGATCCTGGGCATGCCACATCACAGGCCACCGAAACTGCGTGTGGTTGTGCGCGCCTGTAATCCCAGCGTTGGGGAGGCAGAGACAAAAGGACCACTGCAAGTCTGAGCTGCGCAGTGAGATGGTATACCAAATAAAGGAAAAAATATTTTATTTTTTTATTTTTTAATATTTATTTATTTATTTATTTATTTTGGGTGTGTGTGGCCAGTTCAGCCTACCAGGGGGCGGGGCTGGCTGGCATGTGGTGCTGGGGATTGAACCGCAGTCCCTGTGCTTTTGCTTAGCTTGTTCTAAGTAGGTGCTTTAGACCACTGACCCATCTCACCAGCCCAAAGAAAATATATTTTAAAAATAAAATATATATAAAGAAATCAAATCTATGAACTATTTAATCCTATCAAAAATGAATTTATAACATGAGCAAACAGTCATGATTTCACGTTTGTTCACTAACCTCTTTCATTCAAGAATGTGTCAAGTGTACAACAACATGTTATTAAATTCTTTTTTGTTTGTATGTTGATTTTTTATTTATGTATGTATGCATGTATTTATTTATTTTTCTACGAGGGATTGACCTCAGGACTTTGTACTTTAAAGGCAGGAACTTATGCCGCTGCACTACCTACCTGGGCCTCGTTATTTGTACATTTTACATGAGGTTTCACCACTTAATTCTGGCTGAACTGGACTTATCCGTGGATCCCGGGCTGGACTTGATCTTGCAGCCATCCTCCTGCCTCCATCTGCTAGGATTGCACGTGTATGCCACTGCACTGGGCTGTTACTAAATGTGACTTCAATGAACATCAGAAACAGTTGTCTGCAGGTGATTCACTGATGAAGGCAGTGTGTTCTACACATGTGGGAAGTCATAGATGGAAACAAGGCTGAAATATCAGTTTACACCAATTAAGTATTTTGATACTGCAAATATTCCATTAGCAGAATGAAGGAAAAAAACTAGTGTAAGACTACTAAGCAGAACTGGTGCATTTGGCCTTCGAGCCAAAGAAAACCCTTATCTTTATTATTGACTGAGTCTGAACAATTGTTTTCAGTAAAAGAAATAGACTTCTCATGAACAACTTTTAGTGGATGCTTAAATATGTATGAAAGTTCATGTTTCAATATTAGCGTATCTACATCTGGGAAGATGGCAGAGCGCTGAGCTGCAGGAAATCAGCCTCTCCAAGACTGGGAATCCAGACCCAAGTGTGTAAAGTTGGAGAAGAGAAGTGGGAGATGTGGCTCTAAGATGTAGGAAGGATCTGAAAGATGAACTGGAGTTCACAGGAAGAGCAGGTGTTAGCTCTCAAGGCAGAAGAGGGAGGTAGCAAATTGCACTGTGCCTGTCTCCTGGCTCACAGGGTTCTTGAGAAAAGAGGCTCAATCCTGCAGAGCTGTGGTGATGGCAGGGGACTCCTAGAGGACTCCAAAGATAAACACAGTTATGGAGCAGAAAAGGACTGAGCTCACAGCACTGGCTTGCAATTGATTCTGTTGTTCCAAATGTCCTCAAGAGTCTCTTACTGACTAAATGCTACTTAGTGGTGTGGCCAGCTGAACCTGGATCTCAAAGAAGCCATGGCTCCTTCTCAGGGTTCAAAGAATGTTACTGAGGCTCAATCCTGGTAGGAACCAAGCATCATGTAGCTGAGATCAAGTTTTTAAGACACACTAATAGTGTTAAGAGCTGAGGAACATGGGCTGGTGAGATGGCTCAGTGGTCTAAAGCACCTACTTAGAACAAGCTTAGCAAAGCACATGGACTGCGGTTCAATCCCCCAGCA